AAATAACAGCCACAATATGGGGTTTGAGAGGTACAGAACCATTAAAAGAGAGGAAAAGGGGCACAATTTTGTTTGAGAACAGATTCCAGAAAAGATGAAGAACGAGGTAGTCTTTGACACAAATCTTTAAAGAGTAAGTAGGCACTTGCCTCACATAGATGAAAGACAGTGTAGCGGACAAAGACTAGACCAGTCATGATTATTAACTATCAGCTAGTCCATCTTTACCACTTACTTGCTATTCATTCCTGGGCACAACTGATCTCAGGGAGGTAGTGGGTAGAATGGTGGTTACCAGAGTCTGGAAACAGTATTGGGAATGACAGAGAAAAAGAAATGCTGGACAATGGGGACAAACATACAGTTAGAGAAGAAATAAGTTCTAGTGTTCAATATCACACTCGAGTAAGTAGAGTTATCCTGTATTTCAAAATGTGTAGAAGAGATTTGCAATGTTCTCAACACAAAAAGTGATAAAAGTTTGAGGTGATGAATATCCCAACTACCCTGATTTGACCTTTACATATTCATGTATCAAAATATCACATTTACCCCATACACATTTACAACTAATATATATCAAGGAAAATCATGAAGATATTGGTAACTAAGAGCTAATACTTATTCAACATGTACCATGTGTCTAACCTTCTCATCAGCATTTCTTCTGACACTCACAGTAACCCTCTGACACAGATATCATCATCACTGTCTGTTTTACAAAGAAGAAGAAGAACTGATTTCAATGTGCTTTGGGTGAGCATCGCTGAGATAGCCAGATAATGCAATGCTCTGTCTGGTTCTGTTCCAATTTTACATCTCAGAACTTCTGTGAGTGCCATAAATAAGATGTGTGCACAGAAATGCAGGGCACAGTTAAGCTCCTCCTAATGAGTGAGTCAAGTATTTGTGATTTGACTGGATCACCTTAATTTAGATGTCTTCACAAAGATATGAACTATCAACCCAAGATGAAATTTTAACTAACATCAGGGAGATGAGATGGCCGTTTCCCTCCGGTATCAGGAGAAACCCTCTCCAAGAGGCAGAGGCAAGAGACTCTGTTTCTCCTGGATTCCCGTTGCTGAAGAAAAGCACTTGCCACTGGTCTGTGGGCAAACTTTCTTGGGAGCTGTCTTTGCATATGACCTCTGAATTTTGTTCACTGCATCCTTGTTCTAAGAATATATTTAGGGCTTTGTGACTGTACATTTCAACATTCAGCTGTTGAGTGAGACAGTATCAGGAGACATGATGCCCTTGATGTCAGCCATTCCTCAAAGGGATTGCTTGTTATGGAACAAAAGAAAATATGTGCTTCAATCTAGAATTTAAAAGCACTAACTGCAATTTTTCAAGCATATGTATGTAAATAAAAGTTATCTGTCTTACCATTTTCCAGAGAAAAGTGAATCTTCACTTTGTTTTAGTGTAACTTGATTCTGATATTCTAACCTAACATTTCATGGTCACAAAAAAGTACAAATTAAATGTTCTCTTTATGAAAAATAAAACAGGGGCTATAGCACAGGTGACTTGAGAAAAACAGTCACTAAAATAACAGAAACCAAGAGTGAACCCTGAAGTAATACATGGACTTGGGGTGATAATGATGTGTCAATGTAAGTTCATGGAGTGTAACAAAGGCACCACTCTGGTGGGTGATACTGATAGTGGGGAACGCCACGGTGGGAGAACAGGGGGGAAATAACAACTCTCTAGACCTTCAGATCAATTTGTTGTGAACTAAAAACAACTCTAAAAAATAAAGTCATATATATGTATGTGTGTGTGTATATATTGACATTACATATATGCATATTGTGTATGTATAGATATGTGTATATGCATCTATACATATATACACAAACATACACACACCTCTAATAACGTTTAAGGACAAAAACTTTCTTCCCTTCAGAATATCTGCCAAAGTGACTTAAAGTACACAGTTACTCATTTGAGGTAGCAAGGGGTGGCATAAATATCAACTGTTCCATCGCTAAGTACATTTTGTCCTAATTCTCGTCCTTCTACTGTAGAATAAACAGTCACAAAGACCAGTATGTATAACAGAACTCTCACATGGACCTCTGCAGATCTCAAATGAGGATCTTCTTAGAAACCTGAAGTAGTACTTAGACTTATATACCAACACACATTTTGAGTAAAAGGAAAATCCTTTATGAAAATGCAAACTTGAGGAATTAAATGCTCTCCATAAGGACTCACTTATTCCTGTATAAGTGATTGCAGGCAGAAAAACAGAATCTGAATGAACTTGTACTTTTTTTCTCAAACTTGGAAAACCTAGAAGAGACAAGAGTGGTATACAGGGGCCAATCAAAATAAAAAGCACAAGGAAAAATGAGAGGTCGCTCCTCTCCTCCCAATGGGAGTTTTGTGTTTTAAACAATTCATGAATGGAATTTCAGAAACTTGGCAAAAGAATACATTTAACTGACTTATTCCAAATATATTCTGCATTTCATATTTACTAAATAAGGTGTTTCCAAATGAACATTTTGTATATTGTTATGTGTAAAAACTGCACATTACAAAAGGAAAGGTATGAGAATTCATCATTCAAATTTTTGGATGCATGTATACTTAAACTTCCACATACTCCACAAATATTAAACTTGAAAAACAAAGCACTTTACATAATTTACCTTGCCACAGATGTGAAATAATTGTAAGCATATATAAATGTTAACAAAATACTTTCATTCAATGCTAAGAGGAGGTATCATTGAATGGTGGACCAAAACAAACTAAATGACAATTTGATGTTTATGGAAATAAATACCCATGAGCCAGTGTGGCTGAGCACTGATATTAACATATCTTGCTCAGTTGTCTTAATCATTTATAGTGGTTTAATTTTTTTAAGAACACAGATGTTAAGGTACTTTTAATAATTTTGATAAGGCCACAGAGTATATATATTTTTTGAAGTCATAATTTCATTGGAATTGCTTGTTTAACCTAATGAGTAAATACAAAAGAATGTAAAAATAAAATAGGTCTTCTTTTATTAGAGAAAAATGTACTTTTCCATGCCTGTGCTTTCCACATTTTTGGAACTGACACAGAACCACAGAGGCCAAACCTAAAACGAAATTATCTTTAATGTTAAAATTTAATTGACTGTGTATGTAACTGTGCAATTGCTGCTTTCTCACAGAACTGCCAAGGGTTCAGTCAACAGATCATAGAAACATGTTCTGGCATTTAACAAACAGACTAATTATAGAGGAGATATTCTAATTTATACAAGAATTAACTAAACACTGTCATGTGGTTTAGTGTAGCTCAAGTTTTGCTTGTATCATATAACAGGTTCAAGTTCTTTCATCAGTTATCAAAATAACAGAGGTTGAAGAGACATCTGAATAAGTGGCAACTCTTGCTGCAGCTGTTTCAAAAAAAGAAATGTAAGTAATTGCGATATACATTTCTACGAATGAAATATTCCAGTGCTTACATCAATCCTGAGTTTTTAAGATTAAATATGCACTACTTATAATCTCTGACACAATTTTATTTTGGAACATGGTAATTTATTTTTTAAGTTGACTTTCTTCACTAAAAAGAGAGCTTTCATCATACTCTTCTAAGTCCTCAATACTCTAAAACAAAAAGTCTAGTTCACTGACAAACATCACTTTACATCTCATGTTTTAAAAAGTAAATTAAATGTCAAAAGGAAATAGCTTATAATTGTCAAAGGATGCTGGTTATTTATTTCAAATTTAAAAACTATAATCAATACATGGAGCTCCAAATACTCACTTAAATTTTTTAATGCCAGATTTCAGTGAAATATTATTATGGCAGGTCCATCAGTCATGTACTTTGCTTGAAGAAAATAGTTTGACGAACATGTTATGGTCAAGATAGAGCAAAGGCAAAAGAAGACTAGCAGTCTTACATCATGAAATACCACATTTTTTTACCAGGTATGACCCATTTGTTATCACTAATAGTCCACATGACATGGTTTCCATTGAAGGGATAAAATGGTCTGTGATAGGATCTCATTAAGTTAGAGAAAACATAACTATGTTTGAAACATACACTATTCAACAAATAGTTCAACAGTTTCCTAAGATGTTCTATGTTAATGCTGAGCAAGAAGTAAAAAACGTATACACAATCTCTTCCATATTCCTGTGATGTGAGCAAATGCATGAGTAAAAAAGTAATAAAAAATTGTGTAACTGCTATGGAAGGGCAACCCACTCGGATATGTAGCCAAAAATGGAGACTGATATTGACTTAGTTGGCACAGGATTTCAATCAGTCAAAAAAAAAAAAAAAAAAAGATTTTAAAAGCATTGTGAGGGAAGAGCACGAGCAAATCACAGGAGTAATGATGAGTTCCTTCAGGGAAGGCTGTCAACCTGGAGAGGTGGGAGCAAAGACAGAAGGCAGCAAAACAAGCCTAAGATGGGGCCTTTAAAAGGGGAGAGTCTCCGAAAATCTAAGAACTGAGACATGGGCACCAGTGACAGGCTGGCAAAAGGGAAGATCTAGGAAGCATTTTAGGAAGGGAAGGGTTTTAGGAAGATAATATTGCTGATCAATGAAGAATGGCTCAGAAGAGAAGAGAGAACTCAGAAAAGAGTTTAATAGTACAAGCAAGGAAGTATGAGGTCTTGAACTGGCGCAGCCGCAGTGGGAATTTAAAGAATGAAATTAAAGGACCACTGCAGAGGTAAAACTTACCTCATGATAACTGCATGGGAAGGATAATGGACTCAGAAGAGTTCAAGATGATAGCAAAGTTCCTACCCTAAGTGGTAACATGTAGCATTCACACTGACAGGAAACTTTTCTAGTCTCATGTTCATACTTAATAAGTGGTTTCTGGGGAACATTATAGCAACATGTTCTCTACTCATGACTTCTATATAAATAATTGTTTTGTGTATAGATAATCCTCAAGTTGCTTGAAAAATTTATTTTCAAACTCTTTCCCCAGTTTATTTAACACATCTCAGTTAGTGTAGAGGAATGACATATGAACATGTCTTTTCTCAAGGTTATTAAAAAGAATACCTGTCAAAAGAAAATTCCATTGTCTCCTAAATAATATACATCTACATGAAGAAGAGGTCATTGTCTGATGACAATTTGCTAATGTGCTGTACGACAGCAGGTAATTCCCAATTTACAATGTGTTAATAATCTGCTGGCTTTCCCATTCTGTTATACATCAGAACCATCTCTTATGATTACAAATTGTCATATAAAACCATTACTAGTCACTATAATTTGGAAAGTGAGTATGCCATAAAACACTCCTACATTACAGCAGGAAATAAAAGAGACACTTAGTAGTTAACACTTGCCTACTTCCTATTTAACTAAAACTGTTGAAACAAAACAAGTAAAAAAGACATCCAGAAAGGATTTATGGACTCCTGACTTCCACTAAAGATTTGTCGCTGATCTCCTAAAAACTGAAAATGTCTCATTAATGTGTTCATAAAGTATCAATTTTATACACAAGATTTATATTTCTAGGTAAAATTTCCAATTTACCTTTTCCTGAACTGAATAACTCCCACAAAACTATTCATGAATCCTAAAAATACATTTATCAATTATGTTAAATCTGGAACAATACAAAGTGAAAATGGTAAGTAATTTATAATATATAACCAAAGGGTCTTTCCATACATTCAGAAACAAGTAGACTGTCTTCTATTTTTATGCACGTGTTGTATTTTATAAGAATGTATCGTGTTACTGAATAGAACTGACCTTTGTGAATTGCTCTGGTGGCGGCTGAATTGCTTTTAGTTCCTTTCACATCTTGTTGTTACCTCTTCTGTCGCTCTTGAAATATTTTCTGGAAGCACAAACCAAAAAATTTTAATAGTTATAAAGCATAATTATGTATTAGCTTTAAAGAAATATTCTTTGAGACAATACTTCTGCATACTTTCTTTTAGACAATGTTTATGACCAACTTGAAACAACTGTGTTCCCCACTCATATGCTAAAACAATACGATAACCTTTTTCATCAATCATGTAGTAAAGAATTTTCTTTCTTATACATATTCAACACGTACATCCTAATTCTTAATTTCAAATGAAGGGCATTTGATGACCTTTCCTATAATTTGTTGATGATAGATAAGATCTATACAGAAATTAAGAAACATTCTCTTACTAAGATTTTAAACATGTATTAAATCTTGGTCATTTTAATATGTACATAGATGAACCTTCCAATAATGATTGCCTTTCTGCACCTTGACCTAATCTCCAACAACAGTGTTCTCTTCTCCTCTGTGTGGCACTCATACCGTCATCCCCTAAATATTCTTATTCCCAATGGCTTCAATATCTACATAATATTAATAATAGCAACGGTAAAGAGCAACCATGGGTGAGATCGCATCCTGAAAAATTTAAATAAACCCATTATATAGGAACTCTTTAATCCTCCAAACAACTCTGAGGTAGGTAGTCTTACCATGTCTCCTTTTGTAGATAAAGAAACTTTGGTAAAAATTATTTGTGTTGTGATAAGGATTCTTCGATAAAGAAACTTTGATAAAGAAACGGAGATAAATAATTTGCCCATGGTTCCTGAGCTAACAACGGTCAAATTGGAGTTGGATTCCAAGCAATGTCGCTCCAGGGTCACAGCCCTTGACCACTGCACTCAGCTGTTTCTCCATCTTCCCAACATAAAGCCACTACCTCCCTGCCATTGTAGGTCACTCACTTCAGTACTACAGCTCAGGAATCAGTCGGGACCTGACGCCCATTGAATGGAGCACTTTTCACTGCCCCCCACCCCCATGCGCTCAGGTAACTCAGTCCCAGCTGAAATTCCAGAGTCAGTCATCACAACCCCATCCCTGCATCTATGCCCTGCCCAACTCTCCCTCTATCAACATGCTTGGCTACACCCCAACCCAGGAAATTCCAACCCTACAGCTGCTCTTGCACAAACATGCCAACTGGGCTCACTTTAGCTTCTTAATTGCTATGACACTGACCTCAGTTGGACCCCTAATGCTGTGTGGCAATTACATTCCCCTAGGCCATGAGTCCACTAATGGGGCCCCCTCTCTGGGCTCATGCTCTCTTCCTTCTTTGCTGGATGTCTGCATGAACTATTACTACCTGAGACATTGATGCAATAGGTTAATCATAAAGCTAAGCCCGATATCATAATTTATTCTTCCTTTTTTCCTTCTCCTTCTCCTTCCTCATCTTTCTGCTCATCTGTGATAAACTCTTCAAGGACATTCGGCAACTTCAGAGAAATTCTGTAATCATGTTTCTGCCTTTAACACATAGTAGGTAACAAGGTGACACATCATAGAGAGATGAACAATTAATTCTATTCAAACCAAAATTGACTTGACATAATTTATGCTATAAAGTAGAAAGGGAGTAATAGCAGCTGAAATCTTCTTTTTGGGAAAAGGTGAAATGAGTTTACTCTCATTCTGAAAGGAGTCCTTCCTAACTGACTACTAGAGCAGTATCAGAAGGACATTTAAAGTGTAAAATACAAAGATCATTTCAAAAAGCAAGATTTACTCACTTATTTTCTGTTAAACTTTCAGGTATTAATATTAGTATTCCAATTTTAATTGGTATAACAGCAAATCATTTAATTGACAGATGATAAAAAAGCAAATAATTAAAACAGTTTTTATTTTTTAAGTGTGCAGAAAGGGTTATAAACACAGACATTTATGAAATGTCCTACAATTCAAAGGATGTACTTCCATGAAATACTGTAACAACTCATTATGTAAAGCACAAAGTATTTAATAGGACCATCAAAAGGGTAGAAATAACACACAACAAGGAAAGTATTTTTAAGCAATCTAGTGATTGATGCTATTAACTATATTTTAGTAAAAGAAGCAAAGTCCATGGGCATAAAAATTTAGGTTTAAATAAAGAAATACATTCAAAAACATGTTTGAAATATTTTCTGAAATATTTTCATATGACATTTTTATCCATAGTGCTGTGTTTCAGAAAACTGCAATACTTCAAGGAATGCTTTCCTAAACTTGGTTTCACATCAGAGATCTACCATCAATTGCTAAGAATAGTTTTCAGCAATCATAAAAGATCTGCACCATAATGCAAATATTTTTTACATACAGTCCCCATCTATAACGCTCAATGTATTGGGCAGCTTGCAAAACCAGCACTCTGTCACCACCAAGCAGAGCAAAGCTTTCCAAATACACTGCTGGTATGAATTATCGCTATAGAAGTGCTGAAAACTGAATTGAACGTTTTAAAAATAAGAGTATTGTCTCCACTGTCTCTACAGAAATTTTCTCAAACTTTTTTGAAAATACGGTCCTATAACAGTCAGTGCAACTAACATGTCACATGGCTATACAAAATGTATGAGTTTTTGGATCCAATGACATGTTTCCCACTGGGTAGAAAAGTTGTCTTTCCTTTTCTACTACACAGTTTATTGCTGGAATAATAATAGAAAATCATTTTAGAGAATTCAATATTTTTTTTTAAACAAAATCAGAAAGCTGTGACAATAGAATAGCTGAATTAGGAAGATGAAAAACTCCTATTAAACACTCTGAGTACATAGGGACAGGAAGAGGGGAACAACAGACACCTGGGCCTACTTGAGGGTGGCGGGCAGGAGGAGAGTGAGGATGAAAACCACCCATCAGGTACTATGCTTATAACCTGGGTGACAAAATAATCTGTACACCAAACCCCTGTGACACGCAATCTATCTATGTAACAAACCTGCACATGTACCCTCAAACCCAAAGTAAAAACTAAAATAAAAACCGATATATGACTTAATCTGTGTACACTGAAAGGACTGAATAGAGCTGTTTCTCCTCCAATGCCCTCTAATATCCCCCAGCAATTAACTTTCCATGTGTATGAAAGAAAAGCCATCCCTCTCCTTCACCATTGTTAGAAGCATTCTCACATTCCACATTAACGGTCACAAAGCTAAGTAACAAAAATTTATCAAACAGATTACGTTAAATAATTCGGTTAAATGCTATATATGAGAAAAAGACGTTTAAGACAGTCTTGTCATCCACTAATTCATATAACCTACTGCGGGATTCTTGCAGTGCTGTCGGGACAGAGCTTCGCCCTGCCCCTGGGTTCCTGAGTGACCCCGTGTGGTCCAGAGGGCCACCGGGTGACACAGGATCTCCCCAGCCATCTCCATGGAAATGAGCTGGTATGCACCTGTCTCTGACAGTCAGGGGCAGGGACTGCCCACTTGCCAGCCTGGATGTCAGGGGACCTCCGGTGACCCCAAGTATCCCGTCCTGATGGGTGGCCAGACAGGACGGACCCACGCCGAACCCCAACCACCCCATCCTCGCACACATGCAAAGGCCCCCAGGACCCTCTTGGGCCTTGGGGACCACATAGGCATCTCCAGCTTCCTGCCCTGACCAACCCCAGCCCGCCCCAACCCAGGCCCCAGGCGACAATGCCTGGGCCATTTCCTCACAGGTCAGCCTGGCTGCCCAGCCCTTCACACCCTTGTCCCCAAAGGTCCTCATGCCCGCCTTCTCCACCTTCCCACCGAAGGCACCTCACCTGAGGGACCCCCGATATCGCTCCCTCAGAGGACCTGCAGAGGCCGATACCAAGAGGCTCCTCTGAGGGCCTGGGTCTTCCGTTCCCGCAGGAGCAGCCGGCTTGGCTGCCCTCGCTCCTCGTTGATTGGTTGGTTCAGTGTGCACGTGGTCAGCATGGGGCCACGCCCCCTGCAGGCACGCCCTCCCAATCAGGGACTGTCCATGGCTGCTGTGGACTCGGGGGTGGTTCTCTCTGAGGCCTCTTTTCCCGCAATCTTCCAGCTCCACATCCTGGGGAGGGATGCAAGGACCCAGGATTGGGGAGTGTCATGGACCCTGCTGTGATGAATGGAGACCAAGTGGATGGGGCCTAGGACCTCGCCCCACTGCTGGTTCCAGCCACCCCTGCCCCTTTGGGTGGAATGGCCATCATCCTGTGGGTGGGGGCGAGGCTCCCTCCCTCTATGTGCTTCTAACATGCCCAGCTGCCTCCTTTTTATTAATGGATTGTGCTTTTATGTTTTATCTAAGAAAATTGTTGACTCCCAGCAGGGGCAGGTAGTTTTCTCTTATCCTACTTCACTCCCTCACACTGGGCATTGCATGATTCTGTAGTGGATATACAAAGTTAAAGACTTTATGTGTAGATTTCTCATGATGTGATCATTTTTCTTTTCTCTCTCTCTCTTTTTTTTTTTTTAAACAGGGTCTCACTCTGTCACCCAGGCTAGACTAACATGGTGCAATCACCACTCACTGTAGCCTCAAGTTCCCATGCTCAAGGCATCCTCCCACCTCAGCCTCCCAAGTAGCTGGGACTACAGGCATGTTCCACCATGCCCAGCTAATTTTGTTTATTTTATTCATTTATTTATTTTTATTTTTTAGAGATGGAGTCTCTCTCTATTGCCAGGCTAGAGTGCAGTGGCACGATCTTCATTCACTGCAACCTCCGTCTCCGCCTCCCAGGTTCAAGCAATTCTCCTGCCTCAGCCTCCCAAGTAGCTGGGACTATAGGCACACACCGCCACACCCAGCCAATTTTCTTTGCATTTTAATAGAGACGGGGTTTCACTATGTTGGCCAGGTTGGTCTCGAAATCCTGAGCTCAGGCAATCTGCCTGCCTTGGCCTCCCGAAGTACTAGGACTACAGGTGTGAGCCACTGTGCCTGGCCAACTTTGTTTATTTTTTGCAGAGATGAGGTCTCACTATGTTGCCCAGGCTGGTCTCAAGCTCCTGGGCTCAAGCCATCCGCCTGCCTTGGCCTCCCAAAGT